ATAAGAAGACACACACAGAGGGAAGATGGCCGTGTGACAACAGAAGCGGAGATTGGAGTGATACAGTTGCAAGCCAAAGAATGCCACGACTGGATGGCCACCACTAAAAGCTAGAAAAAGGTAAGAAGTTCTTCCCTTTGGGCTTCAGGGAAAGCATGGTCCTGCTGACACCTCAATTTTTTGCAGCCCAAACTACAAGATAATAAAGTTCCATGTGTTTTTAAAAAAATGTTTGTTTAGCTATTTATTTTTGGCTGTGTTGGGTCTTAGTTGCTGTGGTATATGGGATCTTTGTTAAAGTATGTGTGATCTTTTGTTGTGGCACGCAGGCTTTGCTAGCTGCGGCACATGGCTCAGTAGTTGTGACCCAGACTTAGTCCCCAACCAAGGATCAAAGCACGTCCCCTGCTTTGGAAGGTGGATTCTTAACCACTGGACCACCAGGGAAGTCCCAAAAGTTCTGTGGTTTTAAGCCATCCAATTTGTGGTACTTTAAGGCAGGCTTGGGACACTAATACAAATAGTGTTGGCACTAATGTTAAAAAAAATCAGTTGACCAAAGAAGTTTCTGGACTCTCAATTCTATTCCATTGGTCTATAGCTTTATAAGGCTTTCACCTCCTTGGTTAAATTTATTTCCTCCGAGACATTTTATTCATCTGGGTGTTATTGTAAGTGAAATTGTTTTCTTAATTTCCTTTACAAATTGCTCTTTGCTGATGCATAGGAAAACTGATTTTTGAGTGTTGGTCTTGTGCCCTGCAACTTTGCTTAGTTCGTTTATTAGTTCCAGTAGAGTGTGTGTGCGTGTGTATGTATGTTCTATGGGATTTTCTCTATATAGAGTCGTGTCATCTGTAAACAGTTTCTCTTGTTTTCCAATTCAGATGGCTTTTTTTTTTTTTTTTGGCTAATTGCTCTGGCTAGGACTTCCAGTATAATGTAGAATAACAGGGTGAAAACAAGAACATTGTTCTTCAGGGAAAGCTTTCTATTTTTCACCAATGAGTATAATATTAGCTGTGGGTTTTTCATAAATGTTTATGTTTAGAAACGATCTTGAATTTTGTCAAGTGCTTTTCCCACAGCAATTGAGATTGTGTCCCCTCTCCCCTTTGTTCAGTTAATGGGGTTTATTAGATTGATTTCTTCATTTTTATACAGTGAAAACTTTATATTTAGAATTAGCTAGTTGCACTCATTTTTGCAGTTAGGAGCCAGTTAAACATATGCCTTCATCAGTGCTGATTAGGGTGTTGACCTTAGCCGTGTCAACATCATCGTGCTTTTTCACAGCATGTTTAATCTAGCGCCTGTTGGCCTTGACATCCACAATGAATACCAGCGTGTTGTCTATTTCCTGTGCCGCTGACTCAGTGGGGAGGCGGAGCTTGATGATGGCATAGTGGTCAAACTTGTTTCTGTTAAGGGTGCTCTTCTAAGCTTATTCGGGCTGCCTTGAGTCACAGTGTTTTGGGCTGTCAGAATGTGTGTGATGTCCAGATCTTTTTTTTTTTTTTTTGTGGCTGTGGATGCCTTTGAACACTGCTTTGTTGTCTTTAAAGCCTTTACTGTAGCCTTGGCTTTAAGAGGGGCAGCAGCTTCTTTCTCCACCTGTGGCGCCACCTTCATTCATAAAAAAGATTTCAGATTGATTTCTTATGTTGATCCATCCTTGCATTCCTGGGATAAATCCTACATGATCATGATGTATGTATGATGTATATACTTATGTGCTATTGGATATGGTTTCTGAATACTTTTGTGTCTTTGTTATTGAGGGGTATTTTTTTTTAATTGAAGAATAGATGACTTATAATGCTGTGTTAGTTTCTGGTATACAGCAAAGTGGTTCAGTTATACATATACTTTTTCATTATGGTTTATTATAGGATGATGAATATTGTTCTGTGTTATACAGTAGGGCCTTGTTTATCCATCCTATATACTCAATCACATATGCTAATCCAAAACTCCCAGTTCTTCCCTCCCTGACTTCTCTCTCCCTTGGCAACCACAAATCTGTTCTCTGAGTCTTCTTGTTTGGTAGATATGTACATTTGTTGTATTTTAGCTTCCACATAAGTGATATCATATGGTATTTGTCTTCTTCTGATTTACTTCACTATGGTAACTTCAAGGTTCCTCCATGTTGCTACAAATGGCATTATTTCATTCTTCTGTATGGCCGAGCAATGTTCCATTATATATACCACATCTTCTTTATCCACTCATGTGTCAATGGACATTGAGGTTGTTTTCATATTCTGGCTACTCTGTTATGCTGCTGTGAACATAGGGATGCATGTATCATTTTGAACTAGAGATTTGTTTGGATACATGCCCAAGAGACAGATTTCTGGACCATATGGTACCTCTAGTTTTTTTGAGTAACTTCCACAGTTTTCTATAATGTCTACACCAATTTATAAGCCCACTAACAGTGTAAGATGGTTTCCTTTTCTCCACATACTCTCCAACATTTATTATGTGTAGACTTTTAGATAATGGCAGTTCTGACTCGTGTCACAGGATATTGAGTATTGTTTACATATCTCTCCCATATACCGTTTGGTTGCCACGCTGTGTCTGACTTTTTTGTACCCCATGGACTGTAGCCCACCGGGTTTCTGTCCATGGGATTTTCCTGGTGATAATACTAGAGTGGGTTTTCTTTTCCTTCTGCAGGAGATCTTCCTGACCCAGGGGTTGAACCTGTCTCCTGCATGGCAGTTGATTCCCAGTTGATTTTCACTGCATGGCACTGAACTACCTGGGAAGCCTAGGTATACACACAGACACACACACACACACGTGGGATATTGGTGTGTAATCTTGTGATGTCTTTGCCTGGCTTTGGTACAAGGATAATACTAACCTCATAGGTGTTAGGGCTTCCCTGGTGGCTCAGCAGTAAACAATCTGCCTGCAATGCAGGAGATGCAGTGTGACTATATAAATACTCCCAATATGTTAGCCAAAGACCACACTAAGACTTATCACCCCACTTTCATATGACCTGAACTTTACTCACCCGCCTGGTATTGTTCCAAATATTCTAGAACTTGTTTTCACATTTCTCCCTGCTGCCCCCACCCCTATTTTAATGTTCCATCTAGAATGCAAACAGACATCACTGTGCTTGGAAAGGGCTTGCCATGGCCACAGTGCCATGGGCTTATCTACTCCTTGACCAGATGCTCAGAACCATGGAGAGACAGACTCAGGACAAAACAGACACAAAGTTCAGCTGAAAGTTATGTTCCAGATTTGCTAGCTATATAAGCTGGTGGAATCAGGTCTAGAATCCACTTCTGTTGATTATGGATACTATGAATCATATGAATACTATGAGTATTAGTATTCTGTCTTGTTTTATTAAAAACAAAACCATAATCAACAAAACCTCCCTTTGTTAAAAGTACTTATATATAAAAAAAGGTATATAAATTACGTTGGTACATCAGTTTTAAGCACTAGAAATATATAAAAAAAGGTATATAAATTACGTTGGTACATCAGTTTTAAGCACTAGAACCTTTTCCCTGATAACAGCCGTTGATATTGTTTCACAGAATAAAACACAAAAGAATCCAAGAATCAAATTTGGGCTGCTCAATATACTCCAAAGATACGTTATGTATGTGTTTGTTTCAAAAATTTCAGAAACCCAATTATAGTTTTATCATCTACTGAAAGAGGCAAACATATCAAATACAAAAACACAGAAAAGAAACATAAACTTTGGAAAAGGTAGTCTTTTTACTAACTGTTTTATCACCAGGTTAAGTCATGCAGTTACAAAGTAGTTAGAAATTTCTAAAAGGATATTATTGTTAAAAAAAAAAAAACAAAGAAAAGCTCATTCTTACATAAATAATATCTAGTACTTCATTGGGACACTACTGTTCAAAGGCCCTGGCCAAATAACTCCCAAACAAAACACAACCCCAGGTTGTTTCCAGCCCATTGGGAACGAAGCTGTGTGCAAAGATGAGGCCTCTAAATGAGGACACAAAGTCAGGGCAAGTTGGGGCCATTGGCAATGCTCAGGGCTGCCAGCCAGACTCCACAGAGGGAGCCCAAGTGGTTTTTCCTGGGACACTCTACTTGAATTATTGTTCAATTAGTCAATGCAACAGATCTTCAAAAGAGAACAATTAATTAACATGATAAAGAGGTTACGACATTCTTTGGACTATATATCATAATTGTGGTTAGTAAATTCCGACAGCCTTAACAAAAATAGCCTCCATCATTTGCAGGTATGAAGATAACTTAATTCTCTACTGGGCTTTTTATTTTTGCTGGATGACAGTATGCAATTGACAAGCTATAAATGATACTGTTTTATGTTATAAAAATACTAGCTTTTTTCATTTATTATGTTTATAGGCATTCACTGCTTGAGTCAAGGTTAGGCTTGTTAAATGAGTAAAGGCAATTTTCTTACAGCAGCATGTACTTTTTCTAAAAGAATAAAATACATAAAGAGAAAGTTTTTTTTTTGTAACCTGTAAAATCGAGTTATTTTGCTGATGTAAAATACCAATAACTCACATGAGAACCATGCTACCTCCTGAAAATGCCATATACCTGCTTCTTACATGTGTCAAAGCACCTGATAGACTTGTTCAGAGCTGAAGCGGCAAGTGATTGACTGGTCTTGGACAACAGGTGCTTTCCTAGGGCCATAGCTGACTGTGCTGGGAAGCAGCCATGGAGAAAGGCAGCACAGGCAGATGGAAAAAACTTTATTTAAAGGCAAAATGCCCAAATGACTCTCTGGAATAGCTAATTTCTACGATCACTTACTAGCTTATATATGATCCCCTAGCCTTAAATTTTCTTTCTTAAGGGGCTGATTTGGATTGACTTGTTGCGAATGGTGTCCATTATTAAGTCATGAGAGAGAGATTTCTGTGGTTACATGTAAACTTGTGATAGGTCTGCAGATGAAGAGGTGAAAAGGGTAGTGAAGAAGTCAGCCACAGTCTGGTCTATGTGAAGGTCACACCAGCTTCATTGTACACCTTGAAGACTTTCTCGATGGCGTTGACATAGGCAGCTGTTCTCAGGTCCAACCCCAGGTTATATTTCATGGCTGTGCGCATAATTTGCTGAAATGAAGGAGAAAACGCAGTGATTATCATCCTGACTCAAGCAGCCAATCTGTGAACACAACAAGGCACATATGAGCCTGGTACAAGTTACCCGGGTACCACTTTAGGACTGGATTTGTATAGCCAAAGAGAAACTATTTAGGCAGTAGAACAACTTCTAGTTGGGAAGGATTAATTCTCTGGAATTAATACAAATTATTGTTTAGGCAACAAGAAGGTGCTACTCTATTCTTCAAAATTTAAGATGTGGGCTATTTCTAGGCCCCTTAGACGTCTAGTAATCTGAAGCAAGTATGATATACACTAATAATAAATGAACTAAGGATGGGGTGATGGAAATGTTCTGGGGTTAGGGGTGATGGCTACATAGCTTTGTGAACATACTTAAAGGCTATTTTGTTATCTATTTTAAAAGGGTGGTATTTACAGTATGCCAGTTATCTCAAAAAATTAACAGCAAACACCATGATTAATATCTGCTCTGCTATTTCTTTTTTTTTTTCGGCGGTGGGAAGGGAAGAGCGCAGGGGCCCCACGAGCACCCACGTGCCCTCAGCTTCCCTCTCCCTGCCGCCGGGACCAGAGGGAAGGGACACGTGCGCGCACGGAGGTGACAGCCGCGACAGGCGCGCTCCACCAGCCCCCCGGCCCTGCTCGCCACCCCCTGGGAAAAGGTACGGCGGGGCCGCCCTGCGACGCCCCCGGACTCTCGTCCGCGCCACGCCTCTCCCCACACCACCCGTCCCAGCCCGCGGGCGAGGGCCCGCGGCGGGGAAGCGGAGGAGGGCGCAGCACCCCGAGGCCGGGAGGCGCCGTCAGGGGCGCCCCCATCTTCTCCCTCTCCTCCACCCGCCTCCCCTCCCCCGCTCCGTGGAGGACGGCGGCCCGTCGACGGCCCGGGGAGAGGCAGAGCGCCCGCGGTGGGAAAAGAGCGAGGGTGGCACGGACCACCACAACGCCCCAGCCCGCCGGCGGGCGGCCGGAGCGACAAACCCTTGTGTCGAGGGCTGACTTTCAATAGATCGCAGCGAGGGAGCTGCTCTGCTACGTACGAAACCCCGACCCAGAAGCAGGTCGTCTACGAATGGTTTAGCACCAGGTGCTCTGCTATTTCAACTTAATGCCAAGTGGACAGAATCTGAACTTGAGAAGAAATTAAGAAAACTGGACTCAAACTGTGCTTGAAAGGCTTTGAAATAATGATCAAGTTGTCAAGAAAACTTTGACATATACCAAATTCTATGCAGCAAGGTAGTTTCCTATAGCTGTAACAGAGTAATGTGCACTGAGCTGCAATCCAGTTTGGCTGACATCACTCCTCCTAACTTGGCATTATTTATTTCAAAGTCTGGGAAACATATTGAGGACTCTAGAAACAACGCTCATCATTTAAGAATGAAGAAGCACACGTTCTGGAACATTTAAACAGACTGATATTTTCTGTCACTGCACACACAATCCGGCAGCTGAGGCGACGTGGTTGAGCTGCGCTTCATGTAGCTAGCGGAAACACAAACACCATCAGTATACGTACCCTGGCAGAGCGCTCCATGGTGTAAGCTAAACCAGAGTGCACGATGTCTTTCTCAGAGGCACCCTGTTAGGAAAAAGAATAGTTTACCAAAACCATACAAAGACATGCTTCACCTGTCAGAGCACAAAGGATTCTTAAGTCAATATACAGCGAAATAGAATTGTTTTCTTTCAGGCAAGATATACTTAATTTAAAATATCTATTTATAAATTTTTTAGAGCTGGGAATTACTATCACCACTCCTAATATGACATATAGATCTGTCAATCACATATTAATGTGCCAGATAGAAACTTTAAAAAGTAGCTCACCAACTACTATCTATGCTGAACTTTATCCGATAAATATTTGTTCACTCAGGAAGGTACATTTGTATAATGTTTGTATCAATTAAGAAACGTGGGTTAAACCTTATTCCAAACTTGTTCTACCAAATTAAGAAACACTTGCTTTACAAGTGGAATGCTGCTATTCCTTTCATTCACTGACTCATTCATTCAAATATTGTGTACCTACTATGTGCTAGGAACTCTTCTAGTACTGGGGACACAGCAGGAAACAAAACAATGAAAATTCTCTCTACTCATAGTTTAGATTCTAGTTAGAGGGAACAGCATACACACTGCTAAGATCACCAAAATTTTGAATTCAGACTGAGAAGTGACTGAGGCCTTCCAATGTTAACAGGGTAGAGGGATGACAGGGATCAGCAGAAGGACTGGCGAGTGAAACAGGAAGAAACCCAGGAGGATGTGGTATCCTGGAAGCGAAGATATATTTCCACAGGGAGTAATCACCTGTGACCAGTGAAGTAAGATGAGAACTGAAAAACGACAATATAGCAAATGACAGTTTGGCATTGTTGCCAAACTGGCTACTTGGACAAGAACAGTTTTGGTGGAGTGCTGGGCAGAATAGGAGGTAGGAATATAGCAGAACTGAGAACAGAGTATATACAACTCTTAAGGAGGTATGCTGTATCAGCAGTGGTCCCCAACTTTTTTGGCACCGGGCACTGGTTTTGTGGAAGACAATTTTTCCATGGACTGGGGAGGGAGGATGGTTTGGGGATGATTCAAGTACATTACATTTATTGTGCACTTTATTTCTATTATTATGACATTGTGATATATAATGAAATATACAACTCAGCATCATTTCCCACTCACTGACAGGGTTCTGATATGAGCTGCAAGCAACTGATTTATTACGGTCTCTGTGCAGTCAGATCTGTTGATGATCTGTATCTGCAGCTGCTCCATAGTGCTAGCATCACTGCTTCAGCTCCACCTCAGATCATCAGGCACTAAAGGCTTGTGAGGCATGTGCGACTCACAGTAGGGTTTGTGTTCCTATGAGAATATAATGCCATCGCTGATCTGATACGAGGCGGAGCTCAAGTGGTAATGCCAGCAATGGGGAGTGGCTATAACTACAGATGAAGTTTCATTTATTTGCCTGCTGCCCACCTCCCACTGTGCAGCTGGTTCCTAATAGGCCACAGATGGTACCCAGGGGTTGGAGGCCCTTGCTATACAGGAAATACAAATGACAAGACCTGGAAGGGCAAGTATGATTCAAAGATTTATATTTTCTTAGGACAGCATTTGTTACATTGATAGGAATGACTGGAGAGGGAAAACTGATGATGCAAAAGAGGCAAAGGTTTGCTGGAAATTGAAAACCTTTGAGAAATTGAAAACAGGTCATCTAGTTGCCCAGAACAAGGTGCAGGCTGAGATGGAAGCACAACAGTGCTCTATAACAGTAACAGGGTACAGATACCAGAAGCTGGGTAGATGTGCAAGTTCCCTGATGCTTCACTTTTCTGTGAACAGATACCAGGTCATGAACTGGAGTGCAGGGGAGGAAAAAAGGATAAAATATGATATAATCACCAGGAAAATGAGAAGATAAGTGGAACAGGGGAAAGTAACTTAATTGCTGGGGAATTGAGAGCCTACTTGAAGTTACAGTTTGAAGAGTCAGTGGGGCCTCCTGCTACAGGAAAGAAATGGAGGAGGCAAAGCACGGAATTTCATAAGGTTTTGGTGTTAACAAGAGGGTGTGATGAAGCAAAATAAGACCAGGGAGTGACTGTAATGATGGTGAATGGAATTTAAGTGAAGATAGGGGTAATGAGGGACAGTGAAAACCTGATCAGGTCAACGATATAGGTCCTGGCAGGGCCAGATCATGGCTGGGGAGGGGGAGACTAGAGGAAAGGAGCTGGGGGGAAAAAACCCGTTTTTCAGCTAAAACTTATTACAAAACTCCTGTAATAAATAAGTCAATAAGAGATGAGAAACAACCTTAAAATCTAAAATTGGAAGCACTGAAAGCATTTGAAAGTGACAAGACTGATACATTGGCTGCTATGTGGCAGGCCATGTGCTTGGACATGGGGTGACCATGGGGAGGAGCAAGAAGCCCATCTTAGAGCTGCTGCAGCGGCAGGACCTAGGAACGCAAGTAACTCCCCGTGATGGAAGGACAGACGAAATGTTGGCACACGGAGGGACCAAAACTAAGGGATGCATAGTTGTGGAAAAGAGGAAGGTTCTTTGAAGAGAAAAGTTAGTATCCAGAGTGGAAAAAACATTTTCTCATTCAAAACAAAGCCCTTAACATTTCCCCATGTTGTAACAGTCTTAAATTATTTTCTATGATGGACTATTTCATAAGATCTATAACTTAGCCATTTTCTGGCCCTCCCCCACCACCGGAATGTTAAATCAAACCTAATTTTGAAAATGACTACACACATAGTTCCAGTGACATCATGCACAGAATCATTACTCTCCTTTAAAACTGTTTTTGTAGGATTAATTCCCAGAAGGGATGTTATTATAGTGTCAAAGAGCAGGAACACTTTAATAACATTTTTGCACTGTCATCAGAATAAAGGTACAACTGCTTTACCACAGACATGGTGAGTATAAGATCCATTGTTTCAGCTAGTTTAATACGTTAAAGGATCCTTATTTTAATTTGTATTTCTTTAACAATGAGGTTAAACATTTCTTCTAAGCCTATTTCCTGTGATTTTTTTTCATGGTGTCTGCCACTTACTGGTAGAGATTCTTTTTATGATGTGTATTAATATATTCTATTGAAAGCTAATTAACATAAAATCTTTTCTCATCTGTTTTCTTAATGTGTCCATATAGCAATTTCAATTTTTATAGAAGTCAATCTAATGTTTACTTCTCAGTTCTATCTCTTTAAAGCTTAAGAGTCAAAATACACAATAATTCTTTACAATCATGTTAAAATCACTTGTTGGTTGAGTCATCTGTATTATAAAAGTATCAAAAGCAGCAGAACCATGAATTATTTCACACTAAGATACTCCATTTTTAGAACATAATAAAAAGGGAAGTCATGTAATTGTCATGTTGACGACCACCCCTTAAACCCATTTAATCTACCTGGCCTAATCTAAAGAAGAGAGCAGGCCGTGTATGGAAAATAACTGCCACAAGCACACTCACCGATATCCTGTCTTGGAACTCTGCTGTGGGCACAATGGGAATAGTTCCACCATGTTTTCCAAATTTCCTTTCCAAACTCTCTTGAACAGACACTATAAAAAGCCAAGAAATGAAAATAAAATTTTGCTAGTAGGAAAAACCAAATGAAATACAACCAAAAGTAATCCCAAACTATATTCACAGTCCTAAACTGAATAGTTTTAGAAACTATCAACGCTAATGACATAAAAGGGTTACTCATTTAAAACTGAGCTAAAAGGAATAAAGCACTTTGCCAAATTCCTATGTAAGTGTGAATTTAGGTCACTGATCTGTTTCCATAACACCCATTACCAGGGTTTTTCCTTGGCTCTTTTAAAAAGAAAAGGGAACGGAAACTGATGGAAAACTTCACCCAGATTCTCAGTGGGCTCAGTAAAGCTCAGCTGGAGGTCTTGGTCTTATTTTAGCTTGAGGAAAACACTAGTGTTAACTCTGAAGCCTACTCTAGTCAAAGACAAACAGCATTCTTATCAGTAGATGCAAAAAATTCTTGACACTAGATAGGTCTTTACCAAGAGCAACCTGAGATAGGAATGGATGAGTATCAACAGGGTTTAAAATGATACTCTAATTTACAGATTATGTTCTGGGAACACTTGGAGAATAAACACTGGAATATAAATACGTTCTAGAGAGTTCATATATTGAATATCTTTAAAGAAATTGTATAGTTTTGGTCTAAGACTCATGAGACAGAATGGTTTCCTATTCTGAGATTAAACAAGAAGGGAGGGAGGAGGGTTCAAGAGGGAGGGAACTTATGTATACCTATGGCTGATTCATGCTGATGTATGGCAGAGACCAACACAATACTGTAAAGCAATTATCCTCCAGTTAAAAAAAAATTTAAAAACCTAAAAGAAAAATGTGATTATGTAACTATTACCCACTTAATACCACTGTATCATGATTGGTCAACAGAAAAATAACACAATCACCAAAACTACCATTTAATAGAAAAACCTGTAATTACTTTTTTAAAACCCAGATGCATAATCAGAATTATCTCGGAATTTTTTTTGGGGGAAAAAAAAACCAACAACGGAAATTAGTCCTTTTATTAAACACAAGCTTTCCCCAACCTTTTAGATAGTCCAGAATATTACACTTAGAGAATACAATAATCAGAACTCACTGAGCAAGTGGTAGTTAGAATCCCTTTCATATTTGAAGGTCAAACGACCATAGCTGACATGATTTAGATTCTTCAGCCACTCAAAGTAAGATACTGTCACTCCTCCAGCATTCAAGTAGAGATCCTATATACAAAAAAATGAGATGATGGTTTTAATAAAAGCTTACAGTGAACATAAGAGCTCAATATGAAAGCAGATTAATTTTCAAACTTCCTATATATATCTTAGACAGTGGCAGAAATTTTGTACTTAAGAAATTCAGTTTTGCTGAAATTTTTTAAGTGCTTGCAGCAAAAGGAGTTCTTCAAAATGCATCACAAGTCAACACTAACTTCTAATGATCTTTTGCTTCAGACCCCATGCTTAACCACTGAAAAACTTAAGTACATGTTACTCATATTAGCTTTCTGAGTAAAAGAAGCGAGGAACATCTGCAAGTTACAGTAGTATTTCTAGCACATTTTACATTTATATAACTGGATTTAAGAAGTCTAAATATATATACTCAAGAAAGAGCCTGAAGTTGAAAGAAAATGTTCAGGTCCAAGTGAACTTTTTTTTTTTTTTTGGATAGGCTTATTATATTAACCACACTTCCACTGTATTTTCTTAAAAGCAAAATAAAGATGAAAAATTCACTAAGGCTTGGGAAACTAACAATCCTCTTGCCACAATTCCTTGCAAAAAACAATTATGACTCTGAGTACATATAAAATCTGGCAAACATAGTTTTACTTACTGGAATAACCATGATGTTCCTTTCTAGGAAAATCTTATCAGCTTCTGGAGTTGTTGGTCCGTTGGCACCTTCAGCAATGATCTGCAAGAAAGTTAGAAACATAGAGAAATGCTGATAACACTGTGAAATCCCCTCCAGCTGAGCTTAAGAGCTATGCGTACATGGGAGAGGGCTGTGAGAGACAAAAAATTCCACTTTAAATTGTATCCTGGGGAACTATATGTGAATTATATCCCAGGAAAGCTTTTTTTTTTTTTTTTTTTAAAGAAGAAACCTATTAGAGCTTCTCTATGACCTTCAATACATTAGTAAGGTTGAACCCATCATCATGTCACCTTGGCTTTGACTCTTTGTGCATTGGACTTGGTCAGCTGCTTCTCGCTGGCAGCAGGGATCAGTATGTCACAGTCAACCTCCAAGATGCTCCCTTCGTAGATCTTTGCTTTGGGGAAGCCCAGGATTGTTCCATGTTGCTATAATTGATTAAAAATCAGAATTAATGGCTGCAACAGAGTTGAAATGTTTATGTTCAGTGCCTATGATATGAAGACTCATGAGCAAACAAAATGAAAAGACAACTCACAGAAGGGAGAAAATATTTGCAAACGAAGAGACCAACAAGGGATTAATCTCCAAAATATACCCATGCAACTCATTAAAAAAACAAACAAAAGAATGAATGGAAGACCTAAATAGATATTTCTCCAAAGAAAACACACAAATGGCCAAGAGGCACATAAAAAGGTGCTCAGCATCACTTATTATTAGAAAAACGCAAATCAAAACTGCAATGAAGGGCTTCCCTGGGGGTTCAGTGGTTAAGAATCCGCCTTGCAGCGCAGGGGACACCAGTTTGGTCCCCGATCTGGGAACAGCTCACATGCCGTGGGGCTACTAAGTCTGGGAACTACCACTACTGAGTCTGTGCTCCAGAGCCCAAGAGTGGCAACTACTGAAGCTCTCGGGCCCCACAGCCCGTGCTCTGCAACAAGAGGAACTACTGCAGTGGAAGGAGAGTAGCCTCCTGTCACTGCAACTGAAGCACAGCCATGAAAATACAGCACAGCCAATAAACAAATAAAACATTACAAACAAAACAATTGTACAATGAGGTGCCACCTTACACTGGTCAGAATGGCCATCACCAAGAAATCTACAAACAATAAATGCTGGAGAGGTTGTGGAGAAAAGGGAACCCACCTACACTGTTGGTGGGAATGTAAACTGGCATAGCCAACATGAAGCATAGTATGGAGGTGCCTTTAAAAAGTACAAATAGAGCTATACTATGATTCCACAATCCCACTCCTGGGCATATATCCGGAGAAAACTATAATTCAAAAAGATATATGTAAGTAGCCAGGGCATAGAAGCAACCTAAATGTCCACTGACAGAGGAATGGATAGAGACGAGATGGTACGTATATACAATGGAATATTACTCAGCCATAAAAAAGGCACGAAACAACGCCATTGGCAGTGACATGAATGGACCTAGAAATTGTCCTACTGAGTGAAGACAAGAGAGAGACAAATATATGATATTGCTTATATGTGCAATCTAAAAAAGGGGTATAAATGAACCTATTTACAAAACAGAAATAGAGTCACAGATGTAGAAAATAAACTTATGGTTACCAAGGGAGTAACCTTGGTAACCTATGGTTACCAAGAAAGTGGGGGAGGGATAAATTGCCAAGATTGGGACTGACAGACTACTACATATAAAAACAGATAACCAGTAAGAAACTGCTATATGGCACAGGGAACTCTATTCAATACTCTGTAAATGACCTACATGGGACAGAACCCAAAGAGTGGATATATGTACAACTGATTCACTTCACTGTACAGCAGAAACTAATGAACACTGTAAAGCAACTATACCCCAATAAAAATTAATCTTAAAAAAGCAATGGAAACAGATTTCAATAATGCTTATTTCAACTTTATAACATCTAGGTGGTCAAACTCCTCAGATATTAGAATAACATACCAATTTGAAGTCTTCCAGTTCCTTTGGGTCAATACCATCTGGATTCCATATGCTGCCATCAGACTCACCAACAGCAACACATTTAGCACCAAAACGATGTAAATATCTCATAGAGTGCAGGCCCACATTACCAAATCCCTGTGAAGAACAGTTGTACATGAAACAAAGTCCTAGCACAGATGGTTAAGTCATATTCTGACCAACACACATTCTATTAGCTTAGAAGTAATTCTCAAAATCCTTTGGACAAAAGAAGCCATGTCTCTCTTCAATAATAAATTTCTATGTTTTAGAATTTAGAACTCAACCCTTTGTAATTTGTGCTAGTGAGTCCTGAAGACATTCAGTTACGAGTAGTTTGCTGACTTATAAAGAAACGGCAACTACCTAGGACCTCAGTCCCTGATGGCCAGAGGTCCTATGGTCATGAAAAGATAAGTCACTAACTGGGAGGAATATGAGTCTTATTTTAAAGTAGTATTCAACTTAATTTCGATTCTTCTAAGCAAACTAATCAAACATTGAGCAAAAGTTGGAATCTGGATCACTGTGTATACACATAATAGTTTAAGAGGATGTATTACTCTGCGAATGTCCATTCTAAACCTTAAGAGATCCAAAGGATCAAATTTTATTTATTTTTTTTTCAAAGGATCAAATTTTAAAAATTGCAAATCTAGATGCTCCAACTGAGAGTGTAAGGATGTGGAACTCACCTCTTCCCAGAAATACATCAAAAACATATCTACGAATGGAACAATTTTCACAGAATACCTACTAATCACTAGCTCTCAAACACCTGAGAGGACAAGAAAGATCTATTAGTTTAGATCTTTCTATTAATAGATCTTTAAAGATCTATTAATCAGGATGAAAGAAAAAAAAAAAAGGGAAGTGGAATGGGGCCTGTGTCCCTGGAATGAAAGTGTGAAAGTGTTAATCACTCAGTTGTGTCCAACTCTTTGTGACCCCATGGACTGTGGCCTGTCAGGCTCCTCTGTCCATGAATTCTCCAGGCAAGAATACTGGAGTAGGTAGGCATTCCCTTCTCCAGGGGATCCTCCCTGACCCAGGGATGGAACCCGGGTCTCCTGCACTACAGGTGGATTCTTTACTGTCTGCGCCACCAGCCCTGGAAGGGAGCTACGAAAGGGCAGAGGTTCCTGTATCCTGGGGATCCGTCTCACAGGTGGGGGAGATCAGTAAGGGGTTTCAGAGGCTCAGAAGAGAGTAACAACTGTTCTGTGGCAGGCAGATCGGGAAGAGACCTGCACAGACTGTCTATGCCACCACCCTGCGCACCCCAGCTTGAAATACACGTCTGCTAGCACAGGTCGCGGGTGAGTGCTGAAACTCAGAGTTTAGAGGACAGACCTAGGGGAGGACTGCTGTTGGCTGCAAGGAGACAGCCTGAAGTGTGGTATGGCTGCAACAGAGGGTGTATGAACATGCTTGGACTTGCCAGACACAGGACTATAAGGATGTCCCACTGTTAAGTGGCATCTGAAGCAAGGGGCAGGGTTGTCACGGCATCCTATTTCTCTGCAGACATTGGGAACACACACCCCTGCTGCCCCCTTGCTGGGCTCTTGGAGCTGGCACTAGCAGACTGCCCATGCACAGAGTGGGGCTGAAATCAGAGTCAAGCCCTTGGGCTGTGCATAGCAAAGGGGTGGCCTCGCTGAATATCCAGTGCAGGCTTTGGTCACACCACCAGTCACGCTTCCTATCAAGGGGATAACGGCTGGCATACAATGAGGAAAGAGGCGGCAGGCACCCACACTAAAAACGGCCCTTGCATGAAACAACACTAAACCCATGCAGGCTACATAGGGATGCGCCCACATAAAAAAGAGCCCTCTAAGACCACAGTAGCTAATTGTTTCTACTCACAGACATAGAGAACAGACTTGTAGTTGCCAAGGGGGAGAGGGGGAAGGAGAAATGGATTGGGATTCTGGGATTAGCAGATGTGAATATGAGATGGGTAAAAAGCAAGGTCCTACTGTATAGCATAGGAAACTATAGTCAATATTCTGTGACAAGCCATAATGGAAAAGAATATGAAAAAACATCTACATATATGTATAACTGAATCACTATGTTGTACGACAGAAACTAACACAACACAGCAAGTCAACTGTACTTTAATAGAATTTTTAAAAATTGCAAATCTAAAAACACTGAAAAACTTACTGCCTATATATCAGTTATTCCTTAAAAGAGCAACAGTTTTACCTGAACCGCAAATGTTTTATCTCCAAACCCTGGTGTCATTCCTAAAATACTCATGTAAGAAGCCTCATTGATGAAATTTTCAATCCCATGGAAAACTCCCCGGCCAGTAGCAGAGATCCGTCCATGGATTCCACCCTGACTGATGGGCTTACCAGTAACACAGGCATGGGCATTAATATCCTGCAAAAAAAAAAAAAGGGCACAAAACTTAAAATTATACTCATTAGAAGTTTATGTGTCTTTAAGGTATACTTTCACCAACAGAGATAAATCTCACTTTTTCAGATTCTTGTTCCTAGAAAATATATAATAAAATATATTGCACTTTCTGATGGGAGAAACATGGTTTTTAGGAATTTAACATAAAGTAAGGACAATAAAGGACAGAAATGGTATGGATCTAACAGAAGCAGAAGATATTAAGAGGTGGCAAGAATACACAGAACTATACAAAAAAGATCTTCATGACCCAGATAACCATGATGGTGTGATCACTTACCTAGAGCCAGACATCCTGGAATGCGAAGTCAAGTGGGCCTTAGGAAGCATCACTATGAACAAAGCTAGTGGAGGTGATGGAATTCCAGTTGAGCTATTTCAAATCCTGAAAGATGATGCTGTGAAAGTGCTGCACTCAATATGCCAGCAAATTTGGAAAACTCAGCAGTGGCCACAGGACTGGAAAAGGTCTGTTTGCATTCCAATCCCAAAGAAAGGCAATGACAAACTACCGCACAATTGCACTCATCTCACACGCTAGTAAAGTAATGCTCAAAAAAAAAAAAAAGTAATGCTCATGAACTGTGAACTTCCAGATGTTCAAGCTGGATTTAGAAAAGGCAGAGGAACCAGAGATCAAATTGCCAACATCCACTGGATCATCGAAACAGCAACAGAGTTCCAGAAAAACATCTACTTCTGCTTTATTGACTATGTCAAAGCCTTTGACTGTGTGGATCACAAACTGGAAAATTCTTCAAGAGACAGGAATACCAGACTACCTGACCTGAGAATTCCTGAGAAATCTGTATGCAGATCAAGAAACAACAGTTAGAACTGGACATGGAACAACAGACTGGTTCCAAATTGGGAAAGGAGTATGTCAAGGCTGTATATTGTCACCCTGCTTATTTAACTTATATGCAGAGTACATCATGAGAAATCCTGGGCTGGATGAAGCACAAGCTGGAATCAAGATTGCTGAAAGAAGTATCAGTAACCTCAGATAGGCAGATGACACCACCCTTATGGCAGAAAGTGAAGAAGAACTAAAGAGCCTCTTGATGAAAGTGAAAGAGGAGAGTGAAAAGGCTGGCTTAAAGCTCAACATTCAGAAAACAAAGATCATGGCATCTTGGTCCCATCACTTCATGGCAAACAGATGAGGAAACAGTGGAAACAGTGACAGACTTTATTCTTTTTGGGCTCCAAAATCACTGCAGATGGTGACTGCAGCCATGAAATTAAAAGATGCTTGCTCCTTGGAAGAAAAGTTCTGACCAACCTAGACAGCATATTAAAAAGCAGACACATTACTTTGCCAACAAAGGTCCATCTAGTCAAAGCTATGGTTTTTCCAGTAGTCAGGTATGGATGTGAGAGTTGCACTATAAAGGAAGCTGAGCGCTGAAGAATGGATGCTTTTGAACTGTGGTGTTGGAGAAGACTCTTGAGAGTCCCTTGGACTGCAAGGATATCCAACCAATCCATCCTAAAGGAAATCAGTCCTGAATATTCATTGGAAGGACTGCTGCTGAAGCGGAAACTCCAATACTTTGGCCACCTGATGGGAAGAATTGACTCATCTGAAAAGACCCTGATGCTGGGAAAGATTGTAGGCGGGAGGTGAATGGGACGACAGAGGATGAGATGGTTGGATGGCATCACTGACTCAATGGACATGAGTCTGAGTGAGCTCCGGGAGTTGGTGATGGACAGCAAAGCCTTGCATGCTGCCGTCCATGGGGTCGCAAAGAGTCAGACACAACTGAGTGACTAAACTGAACTGAACCGAAACTGAAGCAACCAGAACAGTGTGCAGCAGATAAATCGATGGGTGGGACATGAGAAAACAGAGTCTTAATGTATATAGGAAGTCAATATAAAATACAAGAAGCATTTTATGTCAGTGGCTAAAGTATGTACTACTTAATAAACTGAGGCGATTTGCTACCCGTATGCAATAAGATAAAGTGCCTTATTTCATACCATATCCCCTACCCTCCAATGTTCTAGCTGGATATGTTGAAAAATGACTGTAAATACTTTTACAGAGAGAATTTAGGATTGTGTTAAACACAATCATTACCAACAAAGAGGATAAAGTAAAAAACTAAAATGGTCTAGTAAAGTGATTTATGGAATTAGTAGTTTTCCCACAGTTTTCCTTCATGAATAGTTAATGCTTATGAATACAGAATTACAAACCAGGTGCCAAATGCTTTTGAACAGAGAAAATGCAAATGTTGGAGCTGACAGCAATCCTCTCTGAGGTCAGGCACTGTGCCGGCTGGCTGCGAGCTGCCCCGCATACCTAATTGTTCTGGAAAGCCTGGGTAAGGGTGGAGACCTTGCTTGCTTTCCAGTGCCCTCACATCTGAACACAAGTAACAAAAACTATGGCTTCTTATCTTAGGCCTGGCCCTGATTTTGGATATCCTATCACTTTATGGACAGTCTTTACCAGCGTTTAGTCTAAGGTTTATAGTTGGCAAAGCCTCATAAGACTTTCTTTTGTCACCTTTGGGAATGAGCTAGGAAATAACAATGTACTGCCCACTGCTTTGTCCTATTAAATCTAATGCTTTGCTTAAAAAGACCATACCCAGAGCTCATTTAACATAAGAAGGTAACATAGAAAACAACCTTTTGGGAATGGCAGTCAAAACCAAAATTCTTTGAAGTGCCTCATACTGCTCCTGTTTTATTTTAGGGGATTTGCAGAATTTACCTGGTGTAGTATTTATACTTATTTTTTGTGCTTACCAGGAGCCACATTATACTATGACTCACTTAATCCTAATGACTTCCTCATAAACTAGGTACTATTGTCATTTTTCTAGATGAGGAAAGCAAGACACAGAGAGCTTAAGGCACTTGCCACAGGTCACTGAAGGAGCCAGTTCTAGAACCCAGGGTGTTTACCTGTGCTCCCAACTAGACCATACTATATCACCTCAGGAAACGAGACAAGTCTAAATTCCTCCGCTAGATGCTGTGGCCCCTTTCCTCTCTTCTAGAGGAAACAATATTCCTCCTCTTCTAAGGGTGATTTTCCACTAGGGCCAGTAAAAGATGAATCCGTGGCCCACAGCCAATCAACATGCCAAACAACAACAAAAACCTTTCTCTTTGGAAAACAGGCACCTTTCAAACTGTCTTCTCGCCAGCGCCATTTTTCTTGAGTGAAGGCTACTCTTCATGCCCCACTGCACTCTCAGCAGCCCCCTGAAGCCTGGCTCCATTCTCACTATTCCAACCTAGTTGCTGAATTGGCCTCTTCTCAGAACCACCCACAACACAGAGCTCTCGGTACTTCTCATTCTTTTGTAACTAATTGCTTCCCCATCCACCCCGCAAACGCTCTTCAGTCTGTCCATTCCTCTCAATTCTAGGGCAGGCCAATAGTGCTTTGGGGCTCCTGGGGAGTCTTCTCTCCCCAACAATCCCATTTTCTGCTGCACACACGGTGAAGCTTACGGTGGCACACACCTGCTTACTGAGCATTTTACTGGCTTCCCTCTGTTTTCAGGCCAAAGACCAAAGTCCTTGCTGTCACCTACAATGTAGGAATCTGGTCTGACTCTTCTGCGAGCCTCTCTGACGCCCTCTCTACTCTGGCTACCATAGTCTTCCCTCAGCCTCTCAGGTTCGCTTCTTTTCACATAAGGATCCAGGTGCTTCCTTCTGCCTCTAACCCTTGGCTAGCACCACCTCCCCTGGTTGATAAGTACTCCTCTTTCAGAGTAGACCAAAAGGTTACATCTCCAGGAGGCTTTTCTGATCCTACTCCAGAGACGTGGTTAGGTTCCCAGTACTCTTTACATGGCATCAAAATGCTTCCTTCCAGCCTTTACCCAATTGTATTGAACACCTTGCTTGTACTTTATTATTTTTTTCATTCTCCAATGTTTAAAAAAAATTAATTTATTTATTTTAATTGGAGGCTAATTACTTTACAATATTGTAGTGGTTTTTGCCATACATTGACATGAATCAGCCATGGGTGTACATGTGTCCTCCATCCTGAACTCCCCTCCCACCTTGCTTGTACTTTATAAGCCTGGCATGTAGTAAGTGAACTCTCTATATTTTTAGAATAAATTGTGAGCAGTTAGGGTATGGAGTTCTTAGAGGAAGAGAATCAGGCAAAGCCTTCCTCACAAAAGAGAAGCCATTCTGTTATCTAAGCCTGTCCACGATGCTTGTACTTGAACAGGTCTCAGCACTCAACCATCAGATCAACTGAAACCTAACGGAAGAAGATGTTGACCTTTTCTGATCTTAGTAAGTTCAGTTAACTAAAGCTTGGACTCTGCCAACCCCCCAAGTCCCTTCATGAATATGCATGTACCCTCAGCTTAAAAGGTTCCCACTTTTGCTGTTCTGGGAGACACTGCTTTGGGAAAGATCCCTAGTGCTCTCTGACTTGCTCCGAGCAGTAGTAAACCAAGCCAACCTTCAGTTTGGTCATGTCTTGGCCTAACACCCATCCAGGTGAATCCAGTTTTTGGGTAACAAAATGTCTTCGGTTACTTTCTCTTTCTATTCCTTAAGTGGTTCTCAAGGTTCCACCCTTTCAAGGACAGAACGTTAATTGTCCTTGTGTTCTGTGTCAGTGGCACTACTTCCACTCAGTCCAGAGACTCAAGTCCTCCTGGTTCTTTCTGACTCAACCTTGTCCTTCGCCTTGGTCCCACATGTGCAGCCCCGTACTGCTGAGTCTATCTCTGAGCCAGAGCTTCTCCCTAGCCCTGTGGCTCCCTGGCTGTGAAGGCGGATGCTGACACTGTGGAGGCCGTCTCTTTGGTCTAGCTTAATGCTGCGGCCAGCCCCTCTCCCCTAAGGAAGGGTCAGCATCAAAGGCTCCCCACTGACTAGCAAGTAAAACAAAAACACTGGGACTTGAGTATTTTCTTATTCTTTCATGTACTTCTTCATTCTCCCATTACCTTTCTAAATGTGCCTTATCTTCAGGCAATCTGAGCTCTACAGTTTCTCTGCCTATTCCCCAAATCTCCACATTTGAATTCTATCCATTTTCAAGGTCTAGCGCTGACCAAATACCTCCTTCCAGGAAGGCTGCTTTCAGAAACTCTCCACCCTGCTATTACCCTATCTCCATACCATATCTGCTTAATGTGTCTTAGTTTCTTTGAGGGAAAAGCCTGAATTGAATGCTTCTTTATTTCCCATCTACTATCTTGAAATGAATCCTGCCCTGGTAGGTGATCTCTGAGGGTCCCATCCCAGTGTTGAGAACAGGATTGCATGTGAGTAAAAGCTCAACCCAAGTCACTACATTTATGATGTAAGATTGTTGTTTAGTCACCAAGTTGTGTCTGACTCTTTTGCAACCCCATAGACCGCAGCCTGCCAGGCTCCTCTATCAATGGAATTTCCCAGGGAAGAATACTGGAGTGGGTTGCCATTTCCTTCTCCAGGGGATCTTCCTGACTGAGGGATTGAACCTGCATCTCCTGCATTGGCAGGCAGATTCTTTACCACTGAGCCACCAGGGAAGCTCATGATGTAAGATGGACAGGAAGTAAAATAATATATAAAACAAGACATGATTAAAGGAGAGGAGAAAAACTCAATGAATTTTCCCTTATATATATCATCATTTGAACTGTTACTTCTGATAGGTAACAAATGAAGCCTTCAGGGCTTTGGTGAGTACTCACATAGTGCCCTATAGTGCTAGCATAGGTGTCAGCAATCCAGGACATCTCCCGCTCGCCTGTGCTCATGTCTGGGGCAGGCACATCAATGCCAGGACCTGGGGACACAGAGAGAGGGCATTGCACCAATTTTTAAGACAAATGCATCTCAAACACATCCTTGCAGTTCTCATATAACAAAGCTACTGTGGCTAGAAAACTTCAGATTTCATCTAGGTTACTAATTCAAATCATAGAAATACTAAATGTTCCATTACAAAACTGACACACACAGTGTTACGTAACTTCTCCCACTAGTGTTCACTTGCTGTGAGTTTGGAAATTAGCTCTGCACAACAGATACACCACTCAACAGACTTCTGAAGGTGCAAGCATAGGCAAACCAGTTTAACCTCTCTTGACCTCAGTTCCTTAAACTGCACTTGGAGATTACAGTGGCGTAAGAGGTTGCAGTTAGAAAGTTGATGTGTATGACACAGCACAATGACATACCTGCTTCCTGGGGATGTAAGCCCTCCTCACCAAGTAGAAAAGGCAAAAACACACATTCCTGAGGCAACTATGTTAAGCCCATAGTAGTTTTACTCATGACAGAATCCTGCTTTGACCTATTATTAAAAGCTTACTCTGTATAGAAAGTTTTAGACCTTGGCTTTCAGTTCCTCACAGCAGCAAATTAAATGGTTTGAAGGTAACAAGAAGTTAGCCCACAGGCAGTGACAAGTAACAATGACAGTACTAATGCTGATGTCCTATGAGATCTCAGATGGGAATGTATTAAATGGTGCCCACTTAAATCTGTAAAGGCAGGAATAGATAGAAATATACTCATCAAAATGGTAAGTAAGAATACAAAACCACCTGTTTAGCGGATCAGTTAACTAAAATACAGTATATCATGCAAAGAAATACTATTCAGCAATTACAAAGAATGATGTGCACCCATGTAAATAACTTGGAATCATCATTAAAATGTACATGTGGGGAAAACAGCAGGTTTTGTATAGCAAGTATAAGCTCCCATTTATATAAATTTCTTTTTCTTTATACATTTGTTATTGTTTAGTTGCTAAGTTGTGTCAGAGTCTCTGCAAGCCCATAGATTGTAGCCTGCCAGATTCCTTTGTTCATGGAATTTTCCAGGCAAGAATACTGGAGTAGGCTGCTATTTCCTTCTCTAGGGAATATTCCCGACCTAGGGATCAAACTTGTGTCTCCTGCAAGTTTGGGAGGCAGATTCTTTACCAGTGAACCACTAGAGAAGTCCTTCTCTATATATACGTTTGTGTAATAACTATACTTATTTCCATATAAATGCATGCAGAGGTTTAGAAAGATGAACAAACTCTTTCACTATATTTAGAGTTCAGTCTTGTTTATAGCTTTCCATATTGTTTCAACTGTAAAATACAAACTCATTACCTTTATAACAAGAAAACCACAACTTTAAAATGACAAATGCTCCTGCATCCTTTTAGAGGTTCCCAGATGGCTCAGTAGTAAAGAATTCACCTGCAATGCAGTAGACATGGTTCAATCCCTGAATCGGGAAGATCCCCTGGAGAAGGAAATGGCAACCCGATCCAGTATTCTTGCCTGAGAAATCCCATGGACAGAGGAGCCTGAAAGGCTACAGTCTGTGGGGTTGCAAAAGAGTCACATGACTCAGAGACTAAACTATTACCACCACCACCCAAAGTAAAAGCACAAAGTATTATTACTACTCCATACAAAATCAATATATAGGGATACACAGATTACAAATAATTCCTGAGTTACAGGTAAATTCTCAAATACCTTACAAAGTACAGGTGTGAAAGTCTAGACTTTTAACACTCAATCCTGTAACAGTAAAATAGGATAAAAAGTTGACTGAAAAAAGCAACTGCTTTCGCAGGAGTATAGAGGTAAAGCTAAACAGGTAATTTTGGTGCACAGTGATACAGGGGGATGAAAAGGGAAATCCACAGTTTAAAAGATGATATCCAAATGCACATAACAGAATTAACACCCTTTTACAAACTAAAAAAAAAAAAAAAAAAGAAAAATGAAGGACCACTTCTCAATTAATTCTATGAGGTCAGTATTATCTTGTTATCAAAGACTTCATAAGAATACTGAAGACCAATATCTCTTAGAACAGTATCAGAAAAAATAAAATACTTATGAATAAACTTAACAATAAGTAGTACAAAACTTGTACCTAGAAAACTATAAAAAATATGATTAAACAAATGGAAAGACATTCAGTACTCATGGACAAGAAGACTCACTATGGTTAAGATGGCAACATACTACAGATAAGTCAACAGATTCAAAGCATCCCTACCAAAACCCCAGGTGACAATATTTTTTTTTGCAGAAATTCAATATAACAGGGCTAGGACCCAGACTCGGGTCTAACTCATAATCTGACACTCTGTGGAAAGGCAAGTCAGAAATAACTGAAATGATGTCAATGCCAAAGGTTTGCTCAGGACTAATTCTGTGCCCTAGAGAGAGGAAAAGAAAGCCAACGGCCTCTCTCTTAGGCTACAAAGTTTTCTGGGCCCGGATGTCAGCTTAGTTGCAGAGTAGCTTAGTAAAGCTTTTATACATGAACAAAAAAGTTAAATTGCTAATATTTAAGCTTTCAGTGTTTCAATGAATCACTTTTTAACCTTGGAAATTACAGGGTTCTTATCAATATAGAGAAAATTAAGCTGTATACTATATATGGGCAATAAATACAACTGAATAAAGTCTTAAAACTACTAAATATATTTGATTTAAGCTAAGCTATGATGTAAAAAATTCTGAAGGCTACCAGAATTAGTAGTTATTTTGTCATCTCATTAGTGCTTCCCCTATGCAATGACTGCAAGTAAAGCCCATAGCAGTGCCAGGGAGGATGCATGCCAAGAATCCAAATGCCTTTTAAATTATGAAAGACAGGACAAATCTAGTAAAGTTCTAGTGTTACTAGAAGGGAAAAATGTCAAAATAGAAATATATTAAGTTCATAGGAACTTGCCAACAGTGAGAAGAATACTGAGAAAGAAAAACAGAGGGGCAGGAAAACAGAAAAAGGAGCTTTACTTTCTTGTTTAGTTTTCTGAGTTTACTATGTTAAACTAGGGTAGCAAAATTCTATCAAACGATTTTATTCTTTTTTTTTTTTTTTACCACAAATTAGAACCTTTTGGGACAATAAACAGGTTTAATTTGCTTGAAACCTAAAAGGATTAAATAATAATTATATATCAAATAATTATTCACATCTGACACAAAATAATGTATGATACACATAATACTATGATACAAAAACATAAAGAAAATGAGTATCAGTACCCTCAGAAATTTAGTCTGACTAGCAAAAACTCCAAGTAACAAACATTAGGAGCCCCAGGAATCAGCCAGTGATGGCAGAGTGAGTCACAGAATGAGCCACCACACACCTCCCAGCCTGCGCCCATTTCTCTGAAGGGAAAGGCCTGCTTCAGCCTCCAATCCAAATAGCATGTTTTCTCACTGCTTTCAGAACAGAATTACTACTGCAAAACTCCTTTTTGCGTATTAAAAATTATTTATAATGAAGGTATTATTTAGCTCCTAAAATCTTTTTGGATGTCACAATTGTGACTGTGCTTGTGGTTCAATGCTGTTACAGTGATCAAAAACCTTACAATGTTATGTCTGTACAAGGAGAAGAGGTGCGAGTGACCTCTGCTGCTGTCCACACTGTAGACGGAGAACGTGAACTCTTCTACTAGAGAGGTGTCACGAACATGCCCTGGTATGTTCACCATGTCTAACACAGAACCCAATTTCTCAAAGTAAAAGGACAAGTCTATCCATGTCTGTATCCATGTACAGACAAAAGCAAGAGTTTAAAATTATGACAACTACTTTTTAGATGTTCCCACACTGTGGAAACCTACATGGCAATACATACCAATAAAGCCCTTCTTTGCCAGCTCCATGGTGAACCTCCTTGTGATCTTTTCCAATTCATTATCCTGTAAAGGAAAAAGGTGAAAACATAGACAACAATGAAAAGATGATTTTTGACAGAAAAACCACTTGAGAGGATAACTAAGAACATTTTCATATTATCTTCTTGTGTAATCTTCAGAAAAACAACTCCTAAAGTAGGCATTTCCATTTTAAATGGAAATTAAATTTTAAATTTCTGAGACCAAAAATTAGGTTACCTAAAAAGGACAGGGAGGTCTAGCGTGCTGCAGTCCATGGGGTCGCAGAGTTGGACAAGACTTAGTGACTGAATAACAAGCAACAGAGAGGAGCACTAGTGCTCAAGCTTGTTCTTCTTGTATTAATATAGGGTCTTATGGGCAATCCTCATGGTTTACTTTCATTTAATCACAATTTTAAAAACATATACATTATTTGTATGCAAATATTAATTCATGTAATTTATTAAACTTAATACAGAGTTTAATTAGTAACATTAACTTGGAATTGATAGGATAAATAAAATTTTTACCAAACTATATATCACCAGAACCTTGAGGTCCCAACATAAAAACCTCAGATCATAGTTATATTAGTATATGATATATTTATATATAGTATATTTACATTATAGATATATATAATAAACATGTACACAAATGCCTAAGAATATGAATGTATACTAATTACCTTTTAACAAAGTAGGAAAATAAAAAAGGACATTGATGTAAACAGGTGAACTTTTATGTGGCAAAACATTCAATGAGTTAATTGTCTACTTGTTATTTAATTGCTTTTAAAAGCAATAGGAACCATTAATCTCCCCGGTATAAGGGATACACAGAAGCACAGTAATTTCAAGTCCTTTATAAATGTACCATGTGCACTAATGTCATTTTGATACTTACAGTATAGTTCTTGGGATTGATCTTAACACCAGCTTTGGCACCCCCAAATGGCACATCTGAAAGAAGTTTGAAAGCTGTTATTACATATAAAGGATAAAAGAATTAAAAAGGCAGAAAACACTATGTAATACTATTCAAGTATGATGCTTTCAGCTTTAGTTTCAGAAAGTTCAGTAAATAAGCCCACAATGATCTATCCTAAAATGATATAATATAAATTCTGAGTATGCAAATTACAGTGCATATCTAATCAGAGTGCCTCACTATGTCTAAAATGTAACAAAATATTTTTCTTGTACTATGGTTGGTCTTATTTACAGAGTATAGAAAGGGATTTAAACAAATATCTACACTTCAGGAAAATTCAGTTAATTCCTATAAAAAGTTTCCCATTTAGAAAAAGGTAAACCAAGACTTATAGAAAAATGATGTAAGTCTTTTGCAACCTAAAAAAAGCAAAACAAACCTCAAACACTCCTCTTAAGGTATATTTCTCTAACATCTTAAAAGTAACCTTGTATGCAAACATATTTCCCCAGAGTTCTTATTAGGTAGCAACAAAGGAGATCGCTTACCAACCACTGCACACTTATATGTCATCAGAGAAGCCAGAGCTTTTACTTCATCTACACTCACATCAGTGCTGTAACGGATACCTGGTTGTTTAAAAAAAAAAAAAAAAAAGATGGGGTGAGAAAGAAGGGGATGTATTTAGAACATCCTTCCATCATATTGGAAAAAAAAATACAAGAACTCAAAAATGTCCACACTTTTTAAAGAACAATTAAAGTAGCTTATAATTAAAGAGTCAGTAACAGATGGAGTTCCCTGGTGTCCCAGTGGTTAAGACTTTGCCTTCCAATGCAAGTGGTACAGGTTCGATCCCTGGTCAGAGAACTAAGATCCTGTATGCCCCAACAGAATGAGCACTGAATTTGATTCAAGTATTCTGATATTTTAGAGAAAAAGATCTGCCCACAAAGGTCTGTATAGTCAAAGCTATGGTTTTTCCAGTAGGCATGTATGGATATGAGAGTTGGACCAGAGAAAAGGCTGGGCATCAAAGAACTGATGCTTTTGAATTGTGGTGGAGATGACTCGAGTCCCTTGGATAGCAAGGAGATCGAACCAGTCAATCCTAAAGGAAATCAACCCTGAAAATTCACTGGAAGGACTGATGCTGAAGCTCCAATATTTTGGCCACCTGATGTGGAAAGCTGACCCACTGGAAAAGATCCTGATGCCAGGAAAGACTGAGGGCAGGAGGAGAAGGGGGCAAAAGAGGATGAGATGGTTTGATGGCATCACCAACTCAATGGACATAAATTTGAGTTAATTCTGGGAGACAGTGGAGGACAGAGGAGCCTGGTGTGCTGCAGTCCATGGGGTCACAAAGAGTCAGACACGACTTAGCAACTGAATAACAACATATAGATATTTAAATGTATATTATATATAAAATATATGCACACCACATCTTTATCTGGTCATCTGTTGGACACTTCCATATTTTGGCTATTACAAATAACGCTGCTCTAAACACTGAGGTGCATGTATCTTTTTGAAATTAGTATTTTCATATACATTCCCAGAAGTGGAACTGCTAAATCATATGGTAGTTCTATCTATATTTTTCTTGAGGAACCTCCAGCCTTCCAGAAATTGGCTCCACCAATTAACACTCCCACCAATTCTACTGTGCTCCTTTTCTCTACTTCCTCACCAACATTTGCTATTTGTGGTCTTCTATTTTTAAATTAGGTTGTCTTTTTAGTATGGAGTTGTAGGAGCTGTTTATATACTTTAGATATTTAACCCAAATGTTTTCTCCCAGTCAGTAGATAATGTCTTTTCCCTTTGTTGCTGGTTTCCTTTGCCTTAGCAGACAGATCCAAAAACAAATATTGCTATGATTTATGTCAGAGTGTTCTGCCTTTGTTTTTCTCTAAAAGTTCTATGGCTTCCAATCTTATCTTTAGGTCTTTAAGTTTTGAATTTATTTTTGTATCTTTTCCCAATTGTATATTCTTGCCTCCTTTGTTGTAGATTAATTGACTGTAAGTGTGTGGGCTTATTTAAGGGCTCTCTATTCTGTTCCATTGATTTATGTGTCTTTTTTGTGCCAGAAATACACTGTTTTGATTTCTGTAACTTTGTAGTATAGTCTGAAGTCAGGGAGCATGATACCCCCAGTTTTGTTCTTTTTTTCTCCAGATTATTTTGGCTATACAAAATATTCTGTGGTTTCATACAAATTTTAGGATTATTTCTTCTAGTTCTTTGAAAAACTGTTACGAGATTTTGATAGGGGTTGCATTAATCCCATTGATTACTTTGGGTATTATGGACATTTTAATGAATTCTTCCCATCTATGAACACAGGATATTTTCCACTTCTTTTTATCTTCAATTTCCTTCAATCTTCAACATCTTAGGTCTTTTATCTCCTTGGTTAAGATAAAAAATTGCTTAAATACTAAAATGTGTTTATACAAATTAATGAAAAGGATTTACTTAGGCATGTTAATGGGGCTTCCCTGGTGGCTCAGCAGTAGTCTGCAACGCAGGAGACCTGGGTTCGATCCCTGGGTTAGGAAGATACTCTGGAGGAGGGTATGACAACCCACTCTAGGACTCTTGCCTAGAGAATCGCATAGACAGAGGAGCCTGGCAGGCTGCAGTCCATAGGGTTGCACAGAATTGGACATGACTGTAGTGACTAAGCAGCAGGCATATCATTTAGTGGAAACTAAGCTAGGCCAGGAATCTGGGCTGGGTGTAGTGCCCATCATTTTCTAACAAGTGAATCCCCACCCAAATAGCAACTGCAATGAATGTCTGCACCTGCTCACCTGGTTGAGCAATGAGGTATAAGCAATGCTCCTAGGCTTCACGTCAGAATTGCTTGGGATAATGTGTTTGAGGCAGCTGGCACAGTGTCTGCATGTGGTCAATACTTCACTCTCAACTATTTTCACTTCTATAATAAGTATTACAAAGTAGTGGTAAATAGCAAAGAAATGTACATTTCAGAAGTCTAAATGGATAGCATTTTAAGCAGTTCAACGAACTTTGATTTTATTACTTCTCAAGATAAATTCATAGGGGTGGTAAAGTAGTGCACTACTAAGAACAAGCATTTTTCTTATTATATATAAAAGCCCTCTTATCAGTGTGCTTTTAGAGTCTGTGCAAGTAGTCACTAAATTATATTAACTTCTTTTTTCTAAAAGATTTTTTTTTTACTGTGGACCAGTTTTTTAAGTTTTTTTTCTTTTTATTGAATTTGTTACAATATTGTTTCTGTTGTGTGTTTTAGTTTTTTCACCAGGAGGCATGTGAGATCTTAGCTCCCCAATCAGGGATCAAACCAGCACCCCCTGCATTAGAAGGGGAAGTCTTAATCACTGGACCACCAGGGAAGTCCCCCTTCCTTTCTTAAGTTCGGGAAAAGTTAATCTCCCTTACCCAGTGCTTATAACTAATGTATTCAACGAAAAACAGCTTGAAATATTAACATTCATAAATCAGACAGAAATTTAAGTTCTAGACTTAAGTGCTCTTTGGAAACCAGACCCTTCTTTCTACAACATGGTTTAAACAAAATGTCTATTTTATTGCAAAAGTCCTGGAATGATGAGTCAGAAACTGCATGTAACAAAAAACATGTTTCCACTGGATGGCACCCAGGAATTCCTGTTTGTAAAGTGAAATTTTCTTTCCTAGCCACACCCATTTACAGAATTCAACTGAAAGACACTGAAGAACAATAGTTACATAAATTACCTCTCATTCCACAGGCATTTTCTGCAGGCTAGGAACCAATGACGACTTCCAGTGAATTGAGGCAAAGGACGACTACAAGGAAAGTAGTGGAGTCAGGGGAATAAGCCTTGGAACAGATAAGGGTAGACACAGAGAGGAACCTAGAAACCAGTGCAAGGGGTGCCTGGACTAAAGAAGACATATACTTTTATTTTAACTTTCTAATTAGTAATACATGAATGTTTTAAATTCTGGAAATCAGAAAATATACTAGTACAGAGTGACTCACACTATTAATCTGAGGGGGGAAAAAACAACCTCAACAAGTACTCTGCACTAAACACTCGAGATAACAGGTTAAAAAATTCCAGTAATACAGGAAATTACCTACACCCAAGGGAAAGCTAGTTACTTTTCCTCCTTTGGGATTGGAAATCAAAGAAAAGTACTAAAAATATACTGCCACCTGAAAAATTCTTCACCACATTCTAACTGATGCTAAGAATATGGCTGCAAAGAAGACAATATATCCACTAAATTTGTAAATTCAGTGGATTGGGAGATACTAGCACAATTGCTGATGTGACAAAATGATGTGATAAACTTCAAAGTTCTGAAATAAGGGGGAAACCTAGCACTTTTGAATACCTACTTCATTTCAAGAATAGTAAATATTAAGACAAAGTCACTCATAAAGCCAAATACCCACATGCATAAAAGAAAATCAGAAAAACTTAAAACATTTTAAACCAAAATGAAGCAAGAAGGACCTTATTTTCAGTATGAATATTTTCATTTTTTATAAAACCAAGCCTTTCTTTCCCTCTTTTCTGTGGCAGAGAAGGCTAAAGGTAAGCAAGACCAACAGAGACTGGATGGAGAACAGAAACAGAAACTAAAGGGAACGAATCTTATTAGAGAAATGGAGAAAAGTATGTTGGAGCTTTTGGGTATCCAAAGGCTCAGAGCCTATGTTGACACTAGCATTACTAGTGTGTGGGAAGAGATCAATTGGGTCTTTGAACAACAGATGTAATAATGGAGATAGATGCTTCCAATGGAAAGCCTAAGTCCACAGCTGGGTACGCCTGAACGGGAACTGGGTGATGACAGAGGTGTGGCCCACAGGTCTAATGTCATAAGAGTTGGGGTGTGGGGAAAGGAATAAATTAGAAGGTTGGGATTAACATATACACACTACGTAAAATAGCTCAACAAGGACCTACTGTATAGGTAGGTCTACTGTATAGGAATTCTACTCAATACTCTGTAATAACTTCTATGGGAAAGAATCTGAAAAATAGAAATAAACATATGTATAACTCAATCACTATGCTTTACACCTGAGACTGACAACACTGAGAATCAACTATACTCCAATATAAAACGAAAATTAAAAAAGAGAAAGAAACCAGGTCTAAAGTCAAGGACCATGGCTGACAGTAATCTGTGCTTTCAGCTCACCAGAGTAAACTAAAGAAACACCACCCATGACAATCTTTATTATTTATCAAACTTGGTAACATTGGAGGAAGGGGTGGTAATAGAACTTTGTAATCCTACCTTTGATTCTCCAGAGAAGTTAAACTAATATATACTTATTTTGAGCTAACTAGTATCCAGATGTTTGAAAAGAACATCAGTGAAATGCAGACATCTGCAAACCATACACAGCACAAAACATTTCTCAGCCTTTTAACTTAATTCCCAAAGATTTTCCTTACTACCTTCAAGAGCCTAAGATTGGCATACAGTAAGTTTTTCTAGAAGGAAAAAAAATCGAAAGCAAAAACTAAGTTGCTATGGTGATAAAGAAAACACACCAGCTGATTACTCTGAAAAAGATGTAACGAAAACCACAACTGAGTAGCTTGAATTTTTCTTCCTTTTC